TGGAGGAGGTCGCAATGACCGGACCCCCAGAGGGGACAGCAAGGGAGACAGCAACTGGCCGAGCAAGCGGCTCAAGGGCAGTGCGGTCACGAAAGAAGCAGTGAGAAGCACCTGAGTCCAGTGTGAAGGTGTGTAGTGCTGCAGTCGACTCACTACCAGGGGGGGCAGACGCACAAGCACCTAGAGCAGTTGCCTCACCAGCACCTGGGGTAGCAGACACGCGAGTATCTGGAGCGGCAGACGCTCTAGACCTAATGCCCGGGTCGGGCGGCACACACAGGTACTCAGCACCCTCTCCAATAGTAGACATCACATACCTAGCAGATAGAATAGCATCAAAGTCTAGAGCATAGATATCAATGTTTTGCTTCATCAGATCAGCCCAGCGGGGCAGCTCAGTGGCCTGAGGGAACTGAACACACCAAGCATCGTTGAGACGAGCGAAGCAGCGCTGTGTGGCGTGCGGTCCCCCACACGGCTGACCATTGCGGTCACCCGTGCGAATGACGTACGTGCAGCTAAAGCCACCCCCCCCCCCCCCCCCCCTTGTGCTGTGAGTACCACTCACGGACCTCCTGGGGCGATGGAGTGTGCTGCTGGCCCTAGCCACCGCCAGCGCCTCCACGACCACCACCGCCGCCGCCACCTCCTCTACCACCCCAACCCCTGCCGCCGCCGCGTCCACCACCACCTCCACCACCGCCTCCGCCCCTGCCACCTCCCCCGCCGCTGCCGCCACCACCCCCACCGCTACCACTAGCCCCACCAGTCCCACCACCACCCCAACCGCCGCCACCACCCCCACCATCGCCTCCCCCGCCGTCACCACCTCCGCCCTTGCCCCCTTTGCCCTTGCCGCTGCGGCGCCCGCTCGAAGCAGACGCAGTCCCGACCTTCTCAGCACCAAGGAGGTCGACAGCAGCAGAAGAGGCGACAGAGGGAAGAAGGGGGGAAGGAGAACACCCCTCAAAGAATGGGGTACGGGGTTCGCCACGAGAGGCACCTACAGCTACGATGCTAGCCTCAGCTGCAAGCAGTTCCTTCTCGAGGAGGGCAATGGTGAGCTCAGTGGGGCAGCGAGCTAGGAAGTGATCCGTGACAGCACGCAGAGTGTCAGGGAGGTGGGTGACTAGGTGGTAGAGAGTGAGTCAGAGTGGGGGGGGGTGCGTGGCAAGGAACTCATCAGGCATGGCGGCACGGAAGCGGGCCTCACTAGTACGGAGGTGCGTGATGAGGTCAGCGACTGTGTGGAACGAGGCCAGGTCGGGAAACAGGTAGGGGAGGGAGAGACGGCCTAGCGCGGCTGAGGCAGGTGAGGAGTAGCGAGCAACGACAGCTGTGTACAGTGCCTGTGCAGTCTTGTGCTGCCCAAAGTGCTCGCGCTCGTCTATCGGCAGGGAGTTGCGAATAGTGAAGCGAGCGTGGGCATCACGAGTCTGCCACTGTGAGCGGGCACTGCTGTCAGCAGTAGCAGCAGGGGCAGTGACATGGCCTAGGGCGTGGTCGTACAGTGAGATGTCATCCTTGGCTGTGAGCTGTAGATAGAGGTGCAGGTCGTCTAGCCAGGTGTCAAACTTCACTGGGCGGCCCTCAGCATCGAAAACTAGCACCTGTGGGCTAGCCATAGGAGCACTAGGAGTAGCAGTAGGAGTAGGAGGATGAAGCAGGTAGGGCGGCTCGGTTTAGGTAGGGCGGCGCGGCTTGGGTGGGGCGGCGCGGTTCGGTTCGGGTCGCGCGGCTCGGTTCGGTCCTGGGCGGCTCGGTTCGGTCCTGGGCTATGGCGGTCACGGGCCGTTCGGGGCCTGTAGGGGCGGTGAGTGCGGGGCCGACGGGGCCGTTCGGGGCCTCTAGGGAGGTGAGCGCGGGGTCGTAAAGGGGCCTCTAGGGGCCGACGGGGCCGTTCGGGGCCTCTAGGGGCCAACGGGGCCGTTCGATGCCTCTAGGGAGGTGAGCGCAGGGCCGACGGGGCCGTAAGGGGCCTCTAGGGAGGTGAGCGCGGGGCCGACGGGGCCTTTCGGGGCCTCTAAGGAGGTGAGCGCGGGGCCGACGGGGCCGTTAGGGGCGATCGCGGGGCCGACAGGGGCCGCTAGGGGCGAGCGCGTGGGCCGTTCGGGGCCTCTAGGGGCGAGTGCGGGGCCGTAAAGGGGCGAGCGCGGGGCCATAAGGGGCAAGCGCGTGGGCCGACGGGGCTTGAAGGGGCGGGTCGCGGGTCGCTAAGGGGCGGGTCGCGGGTCGCGGGTCGCGGGGCCTTAGAGGGCCGTGAAAACCGAGGCGCCCTAGGGCGCACGTAGGTAGGTAGGTAGGTAGGTAGGTAGTGGTGGGCCCTAAAAAATCGGTCCTAGGAAGGACCTGCTCTATACCATGTTGAAATGATTGAACAGGAAGTGATGAACTAACAGTGAAAACAGTACAAGTACCTAACCCTAGAATTGTGTACCCCCTATAGGCTAACCCACTGTAGCCTAAACAAGCAGAACATATATAATGTTTGACACCTCGTAACCCTAAATCCGAAGTTGCAAGCTACGGAATAGTCCTCCAGTGCTTCGTACAAAAATTGCTTAGACGAGTAAAGTTGACCTTCACACAACGGTGCTCGATCATCTATGACGATTTGTGGCGAGGGAGCCTTGTCGGCGACCATTTCCCGGAGCAACGCACGGTACATATCGCTTTGCTTCGACTCTCCAGTTCCAACGAAGCAAAACTCTGTGTCGTCATCGCCTGAGTCGGACTCTGTGTTAGAAATATATGACGTCGAACTCATTGCGGCAAATAGGAACGTTCTAACTGTAGGCCCTCCTAGATGAACCTACTATAAGGACCTAACTGGTCTAATCAAAGGCTAAGGTAGATGTCATCCCTAAAACGATGAGAAAAAATTGTGTGAGCGATCTCTAGCATATGGGTCAAATGGTAAAGCGCGGGAAGATGGAAAGGGCATACCAAACCAGATTGAGCGCCTTAATACAAACCTAATTGGCCAGAGTTTAACTCTTGTGCGAGTGTTTTTAGTATATGATTGGCGGGATCATATAGGAAATTGTGTATGAATGAACTCGTTCAAATATGATCGCCCAACCTTAATGGTTGCGCTTGATTGGACGTGCAATGGCCACCATAGCACCGCGCATAAATCTTGACCAATCATGCGCGGTCGTTATTGCTGTGACGGATCATTTCGGGTCAATAGAAGTATATGATCGCGGTGCAATATGCTCGATCGCTGATTGGTTTGGAATTTGGTCGCGCATTAGCTCGAAATTGGTCGCGCAAACACTATTGTTCGGAATATTTGTCGGTTTCTTGTACAGTGGGCGGGCCACGTTCGAGCCCGCCACCCTGGCGAAAATTTCGGGTGGTCAATGGTTATGTACACTTATGCGGGATAACCCTCGCACGAATGGGGAATTTCGGGGCTACAAAGCCCCGTAGGGTAATGCGCCGAAGAAAAAAAAGCCACCAAGAATCCCCTGGCGTGGCCACTCGAGTCATTATCACCAAATTTGGTGGCCACTCAAGTAATTCGTGGCCACGCGAGGGATGGTGAATCACCTTCTTGGCCACTGGAGTCATTCTCTCCGCCATTTCCTTTGTTGCTCTGGTGATGCGGCGTGGATCAGGAAAGCGGGATGACTAGTTGATTCGACTGCGGTATACCCTACGGATTCAAAAATCGGAGAGTATTCAAGTGTTTGTTTCTAATTGCAAAGGGTTTTATTTGTTCGTTTTCCCTTGGCGAATCTCTCTAACAAAGAGAATGATCTGCAAACCTAAATCGTGATTTCCAGCCGCGGTGTGGCGGTATGGACTCCGTCCTATGGAGTGTACTTGTGCGGTTCAACTCCCAGGAATTACTGACTGACCGAAGAACTCTTGGAGCCTCAAATCTCGCTATACAGTTCAAAAGCTGGTTTCGTTTGGAATGCACGAACCGTTTCAGCAAGAGATTACCATGCTGGTCTATGAACCATCATGTCAATATTGTCAAGTGAAACCACCACACTCTACCAATTGGCTCTTGTTGTCATTAGTTAGGTTTTTGGAAGACCAACACTTGCAAGAGTCATTCATCTATCACATTCTAGTCCAACTTACAGGATAGTTTGATATGAGAAAGCTTGGACTCACGTAGGCAATGGTATATTGTACATGGGCTCATCGTATAGCGCGTAACTTAATTTATATGATGAAATACACAATTCTGCATCTGGTCATGAATCCATTTGTACATAGAAGAGCATATAGGCTTCTTTCTGGGATTGAGAGGCAGTAACATCAGCCTCTGGTACCTGCAGGTTGGATTCGAAGAAAGAGAAGTTTTGCGCAAGGAGAGGCACGAACGTGAGCACGCATGCTGGGTTTTGGGGTAGGCAAGAATAGCCTGGTGCGAGGGGGAGAATAATTGCTATTGCAGCAACGTGCGTCCACACAAGATCGCTGTCAACGTTGTCCGAAGAACTCACGTTTCTGATCACAACGCCATCATCGAGCTGCGTCCAACCAGGCGGTGACAGGCTGTCATCCGCCACGTCAGCTATGTAGTGACCGTGCGCCACAGAGGTCCCCGTGTGTCGCACCACGGCCCGCAGAGCGAATACGGAGCTATCACGTCGCTGTGGTTCAGCGGAATGGAGGGAGGTGGAAGCAACGTCACATGGAGTGAAATTTGGAAGGGGAAGTGGGACAGTGGCATGCTGCCCGCCATGCCGGCGTGCCCACGTCCATGGCAGAAGAAGTGGGGTTAAAGGAGTAGAGGAGTAAAGAAAATGCAGGAAGAATATATTTTCAAACAGTCATAACATCCCTCTCTAATTATACAGCCAAAACGATTTTTTCCTGCTAACGCACTTCCTCTCCGAGCCTGAGCAATATGATCGGCTCACCTTTTCTCCTAGAGAGATAGTCTCGTGCATTGCTGGTGCGCAAAAGGGACCTGATGTGGTGAACGGCGAAGTTAGCAGCACAACAGGGAAGTAGAAACAGAGAGTCAATGCGCATTATGGCAGCACAAGAGGGTGCAAACGGAGACAATGGCCGGAGATAGAACAATATCGCGGCATAGTGATGCCCATGTGGCACCACTCACCCACGTCAAGTGTCGTGGCAATCTCGACCCGGTCCACATTCTTCCTGCACTCATACCGCCCCCTGTTGGCCTCCGTTTCCTCCATGCCACCACCACCACCCACACCGCTGCTGCTCTCCTTGCCACCATCCACCATGACGCTCACAGGGCTGTCATCGCCTGCATCACCTGCATCCTCCCCAAGCACACCAGCTGCCCCTTCCAGCAGCTCTGCCCAATCCTCCTCCACCTCCCCACACTCCCTAGCCTCGCCCTCCTCCCATTGCCCCGCAATGTGCTCTGCCTCCCTCCCCTCAAGCTTCATGTTTCTTCTGTCAGCCAGCTGCCCCTCCACGCTCTCCCCAGTGTCCATTCCCTCTGCATCTCCACCCACCATACTCACGCGTGTGATCAGCCTGCCGCCACCCTTGAGCCCACACACCACCCCCTTAGGTGCCACCTCCTTCAACACCACCGGCCTGCCTGCAGCCTTCGCCAGGGAGAAGGGGTTGACCGACGGAGCACCAGCAGCCGGCACAAGAGGAGAGGAGGGGGAGCGAGAGGAGGCAGGGTCGGTTGTAGCATGAGGCGCCTTCCCAGACGGAGCAGAGGGCGGAGCTGTCGCTCTTGGCACGGAAAATGGGTTCTCTTGAGGGAATGGAGGGGAAGGGTTACGAGGAGGGCGGGATGCGAGGGGGCGTGTGTGTTGAGCAATCGAAGGGGACGGAGCGGCAGGTGGCTGGCACGATGGAGGCGGTGGGATGGTGGTGCTGCCTTGGGGGTTGCCACGGGAGGCAGTGGGCTCCTCGTAGCACAAAGTGGGTTTCTCAAGGCATGGAGTGGGGTGGAAGGTGGTTTGGAATCGGTTGAGATGGAGTATGAGGATGTGTGGCAGGCGCAAAAAGTCTCGGGAGATGCGGCACGGTGCAGAGCGGTGACAGTACGTGCATACCCTGCCTTGTACTGTCTCGTCCTGGAGCCATAAGGGAACAAACAGAACCAGCAAGAAATCAAGAACACGAAACGGGACTTAGCTGGTGCCACTGAGAAAGACATGGATAAGAATCAATGGCACACGATAAGACGCAGGTTGTACCTGGAAGAAGTGTTGCAGCAGTGCTGAGAGAGGATGGTGAGTGAGCGAGGCGCCAGCAGCACTGGGATCGGTATCACTGCCTCTGCTACCCCCACTGCTACGAGCTGTAGCAATAGAGCGAGCAGGAGCAGCAGCAACTGCAGATGCAGCAGTGGTAGAGTTAGGAGCAGGGCAGGCAGGGTAGGAGGGGTAGGAGGAGGGGATGGGGAGTGAGAGACAGAGGAACTCCTCTTCTCCACTCTCTCTCCCTCCACACTCCTCACACTCCCTCACCACCCTCACCGTTGACAGGAAATTGCTGCCAACAGCACACCCATTGCCGTCCCCAGTGCTCGCCTTCTCCACCCTCTCGTCCCCGCCTCCATCCTTCTCTTCCCTCTCTCCTCCGCCCTCTTCCTCATTCCCCAGTCCTCCTTCCTTTCCTCCCCCCGTCCAGCCTTCAACGGGGGTTGGCATGTGGGTGTGAGCGGGAGCATGGGCGAGGGTGGGCGTGCGGGCGTGGGCGGGAGAGGCGGCGGCAGCGGCGATGGTGGCGGCTTCAGAGGCAAGGCAGTGCAGCAGCGCGCACAGGAACTCGTGTGCGTCCTGATGGGCACGGATGGGATGGGGGGGTGTGAAGGGGGGAGGGGGGTGAGATAGGGGTTTAAGGAAGGGCGAGATGGGGGGTCTGAGGGGGAAAGGGACGGGATGGGTGAATGAGAGAGGAGGAAAGAGATGCTGCTCTCACCTGCTGCTCCCACCTGCTGCTCTCACCTGCTGTTCCTGACCCTGAAAGATGGGAGCGCTGCGCCCCACTGCCCTCTTTACAGCCCTCGCATCCGCCACGCCACCCGCTGTCCCCCTCAATCGGCTACTGATGCTCCCCACAGTGGCGCCACTGCTGTTGCCATGTGGCAGGCCCAGCAGCTGCCACGTCAGCCGCTGAAGCTCAGTGGTGACTGGGAGGCGGAGGGAGGAGGAGCGGGCGAGAGAGGCGGGGAGGGGCAGGTGGAGGAGGTGGGAGAGGAAGGGCGGAAGGGAGGCGAGGGCTTGCAGTGTGGCGTTGACGTAACACATGTTGATTGCATCGATTCTGCTGTTGAGGAGACTGGTGGTGGGGCGGAGGAAAAGGAGGGCTAATAGTTGGGAAAAGGAAAAGGGGAGGAGGGGGGGGGGTGGATAGAGGGAAGAAAGAAGGTCACGGGAAATGTGGATAGCAACGGGGCATGCGCTGCACGCGTGGCCCGGGGACACACGAGCGAGGAAACGTGGGGGTGGGGGAGAGTGACCAGGAGTGGAAGAGAGAGAAACATTTGTTGCGGGTGGAAGGGAGGAAGAGGAAGGTGGAGAGCAGAGTGAAGAGAAGCGCAGAACGTGCACAATTAACAAAGGCGAGGAGGAGAGGGAGAAGCGAGAGAAGAAGTGGAGTGGGGAGAGGAGCGGCGCACCCTATCCTTGATCGTGGTGTTATGCAATAGTGGCGCCCATCCTGGCCGTGCCGTGCCGCATCCCCCCCGCCACCACAGCGGCTTGCAGCACCACCTTCCCCTACTTCCGCCACGCACTCGTTTCCCCCCACCCCTCTGCCGTGCGACTTCCCTGCATCATGCTCACACGCCCACGCCCCACCATGCCCCACACCCGCCTGCTTGCTCCCTGGGCCCGTTTCCACTGCCTGCTCGCGTGCCCCAGTCTGCCCACCCGCCGCTTCCTCGCCTCGCGTCCGCCCTGCCTGCCCGCGTTGCTGCCCCACCTGCTGCAGCACGTAGCTTCGCTGCACCTTCGCCGGCCTCTCGTCACTCCTGCTGTCCACGTCAGCATCCATCTGCAGCCGACGCTTCGCCTGCTGCGGTTGCGGCCTGCACGAGCCTTTAGGTCCGGGCCGCCACACACCTGCCACTCCGCCGCACATAGACACCGACATGGAAAGGTGGAGCAAGATGAAAAGGTGGAAGGGGGGTAAAGGGGCCTTTGCTCAAGCAGTCACGGAGCACATTCACATAGTGTGCCTGCGTGAGCAGTGACGGCGAATGCACGATCGGTGGAGCGGCGTGGCGATGATGATGCGCGTGCCACTCGAGTGCTGCAGTGTGACCCATGGATGCGTGGAAACATCAACTGGAGGGAAAAGCACAAAGAAACGAAATCGGGAGCTTGATAGCGAGAGAAGCATGCGGGCGGGAAGGTTACAACAGTCGCGAATGGTGCGCGACTCACCATCGCCATCTTGAAGGCCGTCGCAGAACAACTGGCGCGATATCGGCCGCTTCAGCCGTAAATCCGCGTCCGCCTTGAACTGCCCGTTCGACAAGCTGCTGGGAAGCGCTGACCCTCCTTCTCTAGCCTTCCGCTCGTCTCTCTCCCGCTCCTTCCGTTCCTTCTCCTGCCGTCGCTTCCGCTCCTCCATTTGCTCCTGCGCCTGCTGCCGCTCCCTCTGCGCCGCCAAGCCCGCGAGCGCCACAGCCCTGCCTCGTCCTGCTTATAGCGGGGATACGAGGGGTGACAAACTCGCACAGATTAGGTTCGTCGCAAATGCGTTCCCTCGCATTGAACAACAGAGGCGTCCGCCGGCGCGCCGCGTTACTAGATGAAGCGACTCAGACATTCGATTTCGAATCGTTTCTACTAGAGACACCAGGGAACGCAGTGAACGCACGAGATATTGCCAGGAAGACTTCTGAGACGCGAGTAGCAACGGCAGCGGCGCGCACCGTGTTTGGCGCATTTCAGCAGCAGCTGGTACGCCGCGTCCGACGACGACAGCTTGCCGCCGCTCGCCATGCTCTCACACGCGGCGTCCACGGCTCCAACTCAAAGCTGCACGCACAGCACGCCGTTCGAAACGTTTAACAAGGGCCGTTCAATTCCACGACGGCCCTTCGCTGTCAGCCTCACCGCAGCGCTGCACGTTGGCGTTCTATCCGTCGCAACTCGCCGAGGCGCGCGCTGCTGCGCACGCCGTGAGGAGACGGTACGCGCTTTGGAAGGGATAGCTAGTTACAAGCGGACTGGGCTTGGGCTGCAATCGGCATGTGGCTCGCATGGACACCGTTTCGGCAGATGGATTTCGAGCTTCTTCAAATGTGTGAAGCGACTGGGACAGCAAACTGAATCAGACGCTGCAAGCAGCAAGACGCCTTGGGCAGTGGGCCTTGTTGCAGAAGGCTTCACTTGGAAATCCAGAACAGCCCTACGATAGCATGCAGGCGAGGGCCAGAATCTCGGTTCGTCAGCACTCAAGTTTTCACGATTTGAAATTCAAACCAGCTTCAAGCATGTACGAATCTTCAAGCTAACGCGATTAGCTACAAACGATGCAGCAGTAACCTTCCCTATATAAGACCCAAGGGCCTAACAATAAATTCAGTGTAATTATTTACAAAGCCTGGAATTATTTTATAGCCCGAGTCTAGAATGGCAACGGTTCAAGTTCAAGATTCTTGAAGCTGAAAAAGCCAAAAACAGGGTAACCCGGTTTGGGGAATTCTGATTGGCTAAGATCAACATAGACAAAAGTAATCAACCCTTTCGGCCGCAAAGCCAACCAAGCAGGCTACTGTTCATACTTCAGCAAACTTGAAAGTGGGACTGACCATGATAGACTCGATATCTAGGAGGCTCCATAGCTTAGAAAATAGGGTACTTGATTGTGTTGCAAATAAGTAACTTAAACGCTTCTGATGTGTCAAAACACTGAACCACAAGCGAAACGAATTACAACGAAGCATCGGTGACTCAACCGAGGAGGTTGACAGAAATGTAACAGACGGAGGTTACGCGAAGGTCAAAGGTCGCTGACCTTTGACTCGACAAATACAACGCGACAGCAAGGACAAACAATTGACTCGTTATTGAGCAATTGCCCGAGTCGTCACTGTATCGAACCGCAACAGCAACAGTAAAACAGTTATTAACTGTATCTCTTCATATTCCTTGTACTCTTATAAAAACTGTCATAATAGTAGGTAGGGGAATGACTAGAATGTCGAGTGATTTTGGTATAAGGAAGAACTCTAATGGGTTGTACCCCACATAGTCTACCCCACTACAGCCTACCCAAATTCATAACATACATAGATATGTTTGACAAAGTGGGGGAGGACCAAGGGGTCACAAGACCAGTCAAGAACAGCAAAGCAGCGGTATATATGGAGCAGCAACAGTACAGCAATCACTACCTAGCAAGAGCAAGCAAGCAGGTATATATATAGATCACAGTACAAGCAAGGTCACGAAGTGAGCAGGTGAGATGAAACAGGCACAAGGCGTAACATAGTACAGAATCGTTGATGATCACCAGACGGAAGCGCCTTGGTGAATATATCAGCAGTGTTGGCCCGGGTGGCCACGTAAGCAACACGAAGCTGACCACGCTGCTGTAGCTTTCGAGCAAGGAAGTAACGCAGAGCGATGTGCTTCGTTCTGTGCTCTAGACACAAGGTAATGGCAGCCTTGTTGTCTACGTACAGAACTGGTGGAGAACGAGGCCTCTCTCCCAAGTCAGTCAGCAGGTAGGTGAGCCAGCGTAACTCCTGTGCAGCCATGGCTGTGGCGTAGATCTCAGCCTCACAACTCGAGCCGAGAACAGAAGACGAGTGGGTAGACCGCCAAGAAACAGAGCCGCAACCAAGGCTGAAGGTGAAACCCTGTGACAACCGTTGCGTAGCAAGGTCGTCAACCCAAGACGCCTCTGAGTGTCCACTGAGGACAACCTCACCCCGTCCTCCAAGCACGAGCCCCATACCCAACGTACTGCACAAGTAGCGCAACACCCTCTTAGTAGCCTCCATGTGCTCTCGCCTCTGTCTCCCTGGTGCAACGTAGCGAGCCAGGATGCTAGGAGGGTAGGCAAGGTCAGGTCGAATGCTGGTCATCAGGTTCATGAGGTAGCCCACAAGCTCTGGATACGGGCCACTCGGCTCTACAGACTAATCCGAAGGCAGAGCTGAGAGCGAGTGACCGGTAGCCATAGGAGTGGACTGTGGCGAGGACCAAGTGAAGCCGAAGCGCTGAAGGACCTGCTGCACCATGTGTGACAGAATCAGTGTGATAGTGCGGCATGCTATGTCCCGGGTGATCTGCAAGCCAAGGTAGCTGCGCAGTTCACCCAAGTCTGTGCACGTGTGTTTCTTCTGCAGCTCCGACTTCACAAGGGCGAGTGCCTCAGTGTCAACAGTAGCAAAGACCAAGTCGTCGACGTACACGATGATGTAGAACGGCGGGAGCGAAGTGTCGGTGCGCAGAAACAGCGACGGGTCAGCAGTGGAAGGGGCAAACCCAAGAGCCGCAGGTGTAGTTGTGAGAATCTAGGATCGAGTTCAGTAAAGAGAATGAGAATTGAGTCGAATTGAATTGAATTGAATTGAATTGAATGTCCACCTGGGTACAACACGAGGCTATATATAGGCTCGACACAAGGCCCCGTAACCAGGTGTTACGCGAAGGTTCCGCGGGTCGCGAAGCGTCCCGAACAGATCCTTACCAAATTCGGTAGAAGGCAATTCGGTGGCAACCGAAAAGCCAGAATTCGGTGCACGCAACCTAGCTCGGTGCTATAACTATAATAAAATATAGGAAAGCACCTAGCCTAGGAAATCAAGCAATTGATGCATGCATATGATTATCCTATGCTAGAAATAGCATGATAAAGTAGAGGCAAGCAAGCATAGCTGGCATAAGCCGTCGTACTCTCACACGTCCCCCCCTCAAAGCTGGGTGGCGTGAGATACACCCTGTTTGACAAGATAGTCCTTGAGAGCACGGCGTGCGTTGCCCATATCAGCTACTGCAACCCAGCTGTCCTCAGTGGGGTCGTATCCCTTCCAGCGTATCAGGAACTCGAGAGTCTTGCCACCGCGGCGCCGATGAGAGAGAACGCGCTCGATCTCGTACTCGGGTTCATCCTGTATGAGAACAGGTGGTGGTGGCGGTAGTTGCCGTCCCTGGAACTGTTGGTTGGGGTCCTTGTAGGGCTTCAGTAGCTGGACATGGAAAGCGTTGTGAAGCTTCCATGTATCTGGTAAGCGCAAGCGGAATGTAACTGGTGTCACCTGTGCCTCAACGAGAAAAGGACCACAGAAGCGAGGCCGGAGTTTGGATGGGAGGCGAGACAGGTTCAAGTTGCGCGTGTCAAGAAGCACCTGATATCCGACTGCTACTGAGTGATCACGTCGCTGACGATCGGCATACTGCTTCTGGGAGTTTTGTATCGTGGTGAGACGTCGCTGAGTCTTCTCCCATAGCTGCTGCATGGTGGTGACGAAGTCATGTGCGGCTTGGACGTGTGCCGGTGTAGTTGGCTGCTGTGGTGTGAGTGGTTCCCGTCCGTAACACAAGAAGAAAGGAGTTTTCCCTGTGGCCGCATGTGATGCGTTGTTGTAAGCAAACTCTAGGGTTGGTAACTGTGTGTCCTAGTGGCTGACGTCGTCCTTGCAAGCTGTGCGCAGTAACTGTTCAACCACTTGATTGAGTCGCTCTGTGTGTCCGTCAGTCTGGGGGTGGTATGCTGAAGACATTGCAAGCTTTGTCCCCAACAGTCCCATGAGCTCCTTCCAGAACTTACTCGTGAATTTGGGGTCTCTGTCTGAGATGAGTGTAGCGGGGATGCCGTCGATGGTGATGATGCGGTCCAAGAAGAGTCGAGCTGTTGCTTCAGCTATAGCTGTGGCGTTGGTCGGTATGAAGTGACCCATTTTGGAGAACTTATCGATCACCACGAGGATGGAATCATGTCCCCGTGAGGTCGAAGGAAGCCCTGTGATGAAGTCGAGGCTAAAGACCTGCCATGGCTGCTCCGGTACGGGTAGAGGCTGAAGTAACCCTGCTTTTTTCTGCTTGCTGCTCTTCATCCGCTGGCACGTGTCGCAAGAGGTGACAAACTGCTGCACGTCTGCTGCCATCCCAGGCCAGTAGTAATACTTCGCTATCCCTGCTAACGTCTTGTAGCTCCCGAAATGTCCCGCGTAAGGTACGTCGTGAAACTCCTCCAATAGGATCTGCCGTAGCGGGGCGTAATTCGGTACCCAAATCTTTCCTGAACCCTTCCTTACAGCTAAGTCTTTCTCCCACTGTAATAGCTTCTTGGTCTGTGCTGTAGAAATCTCTGCATCCACGGAGTACCCATGTTGGAATAGACCCTTGAGCAGAGGGTTCATCCCGTCGAGCTGGATGCCTGCTACATCTCCGGGGCGGCTCAACGCGTCTGCCTTGTTGTGTAGCCCGGGCTTGTAGACGATGTCGTAGTGGAAGTGAGTTTCCAGGAAGTCCACCTACCGCACCTGTCGTCGTGAGAGTGTCGGCTGTGACTTCAGGTATTTGAGACTGTTGTGGTTTGTATAGACTGTAGTCTTGGCTCCCTCTAGGTAACACCTCCACGCCTTGAAGGCTATGACTATCGTTAAGGCTTCC